CGGTTTATTCCATATTAATATGCTTTCTTCTAACGACATGACATGACTTGTCCCGGACCATCAGAAATTTAAATTTGGGGGGGATCTGGCGATGATTTGATATGATTGTTATGGACTTTTTTAGGCAAGTGTCGATCAAAGTTTATTATTTTACAACCAGTAACTGATCGTCAAGCTACATTTCAAGTACACAACTATAGCGCTGCGTTCTCGCTTATCAGATATTACTAACTAAACGTAGACTTTTACGGACAATCGTTTTCATCCAAAATAGATTTTACTATTATATCGAATGCATGACAATTCTGAAAAAGTCTTACGCTGCGCTATGAGATGCTATCCTTTGATCAGGACGTCAAACTATTCCAACTTGGTATAAAAATTTGTGCCCTTATGCGGGTTTGCCTACAGTTTGTTACCGCTTTGTTTACTTTTTGTTAATTTATAATCCTTCTAAAAATAAATACGGAATGTCAGAATTCCCTAGATGGAAAGATATGTGTGTCAAAGATAGTGATTTTGACCAATGATCCCTTAATTTTATATACATTCGCATTCGTGCGATAATGCACAAACATGCCCTTGCAGCAAAATTACAATAACTTCCTTGTTATATAAGCAACTAGCATATGCCCTTAACAATTTATAATTGATAATATGTAATTCACAATTATTATATATAGTCCTCGATCGACTCTCGATACCCTCGCTTCATTGCCCATACCGTGCAACCCCAGTCCCCATCACCACTATAACATAGCAATGGAATTTGTGGATGAAACTAAAATAATTCTTCGGAAATACCGAAAGACTGAGGTCGTGCCGTTGGTCGCTGGAAGAGCAGTGACAATAAGTTTGGGTGTTCTCGCGTGTCTGGGCTACTTTGTTATATTAATATTCTTTCTCGTAACTACACATCCCGTTGAAATTATAAAAGTAGTCTCGACACCAACAATACCAGTGCCAGGTGAGCATATTAAAGAGATGGCACGGACATTTAAAACGAGAGCGATGCTTACGTTATCATTTATGTAACAGATTTGACGATATCATTTAATTATAAATTTAATGTGTCATGTCAATTCCGATATACTGGTGAGCATCATAACTGATTTATCATATGAAATTCGTGAAAAAAAATTTTCATATTTAATAACGGCGATTACCGACTATTTTTTTTTTTTTTTTTCGCACAAGACAACACCAATTCAAGCGAGGAATTATGCGCACCGTACCTCACCCAACCATGCAATCAATCATTAGAGGATGGAAAATACTACGCATACTTTACGTCGAACAACGATCTTAATTACGATCGTGACGAGAAACGTAACGGCGTATGGTTTACAATCTTCCTCTCCGACACCTCATATGACGTACAGCACGATCTTGGAATGCAAGCGAGAGCGTATGACTCAGGTAACCTAAACAATAATCGGAATCAAACATGATACATCGAATTTGCATGTTTGGTTTCTCATTTGTATATCATGATTGTTGTAGCATTCGATCCTCGCATGTTGGATTCGAAAACAGTAGATAGGGTCAACCGCGAAGACCCAAACTTCTTTGACGACCTCAACAACCGAAACACTCATATAATCGGCTTCAGGCAAAACAATTGGATGTTTATCTCGAGGAAAATAAAAAAGAAGATGAAGCCTACATTCGCAAATGCGCTGGGCATTCCACCCATATACCGCATCCAACCATTCATTCACACGCTGTATGGTATGTAGACCGAAGCACGTGATACTATTCAAGACATGGCGATAATTCCTAAACACTTGCTTCCTCTTTATAGAATCGGTTACCGATCCGATCAGCTCATTTAATGCCAGTTCAATCAAACCAAACTCCCCAACCTATGGGCATTTGTTCGTTGGCACGTTCGATTGGTTCACGGAGGAGATTGTGGAGAGCAGGTTAGTTGAATGAATTGTATATAGCAATCGTCTCGTATAACGTTACGTACTCACTTATTCTCTTCGTCCCAAACCA